GATAATATTCCGTTTGAGTGGTTCTAACGTTTACCCTGAATATAAATGTTTATAAACTACACTTTAAGGAGTAATTTCATGGTAAACGTTAGAACCACTCAAACGGAATATTATCATATATATCCAAGTACACCAAAAATTTCATTAGTGCTTTTTAAGTGCAGGATTTGCGGTGTATTACTGCATTTTATTTGAGAATTTTTTTGTTGGTAGTCCGGAGGGTGTTTATTTAGCAATGCAGAATAATAATTTTTATTTATAAAAACTTGTATTTAAACTGAATGCTGTTCTAATTTGCGAAACCAAATAGCCGCCATTTTGCGGTAGGAGGAGCGCATCGCGTGAGCGGCTATCATTCAAATAAAGTTACATATATGAGCCCTCTCTTAGGGATAGCAACAAGAGCAGAGGCAGGCCGAGGCTTAGATTAGTCACTTTAATTACTCACTAATAACTATCATATCACTCAGAAAATTCCGATTAAATTAAATTACAACAATATGAATATATAATATAACATAATTCAAAATTTATTTATTAATATAATTAATATAAATATTCACTTAAATTGTAGTAACCATGAACTAATTTGTTTGAAAATAATTTTGTTTTAGGTTGAAATCTCAGTAACTATAAAACTGGCATAACATTGAATCGTAAATGGTAGACCGAATAAAAATAGATGAGCTAATGTAAGTGGTTGTCATGAGACATCCGATTTTTGTAAGATATAGGCAAACATTTGTCCGCAGTTGATGGCAAGTGACGCGGAGGTCGTAGATGGAACCTGCTTCCCTAAAAAGTGCTTAATCACTCTCGCCTAAGTAGAGCGATGTCACACGATGCGTGGCGTCGGCGGCGGCGTCGCGACCCCTGAGCGGTGACTCTGCGTTATACTACATGTGAATAAAGTGTATGAAAGGAGCCTTCCCGTACGACATACCATTTCTTTCCTGAATTCTGGCGCAACCTGGGCAATAATCGACGAGTACCTTACGCCGATTGGCAAATCCTTTCAGAAGTATTAATATATATGTCAATATGACATACATATTAATGCGCTGCAAACGCACTTTGTAAAAGGCTCGCGAGTTTCACACGTGGATTGTGTTGTGCGATCTGTTCGCATGGTGCTTACACGCCATATATATTAAAGTGTATTTAACTGTATGCAGCACGTGAGCAACGCGCGTGCAGCGCGTTCGCCGCGCATTTTTTTTTATACTACCAAGTGAAGGGATGAACGTACGACGTAATTTCACCAGCGCCCTAACCCTTCAAAACCACAAAGCTACTATGCAGAAAGGTAAGATGGCAGTACTAGCTCCCTGGACGAATTCTTTCACAAGGAGCTCTACTGCTATTAAAATTGCATTCGTCAGATTTGTACGCACCCATACGATAAGAAGACTACGTGGAAATTAGAGCTACATGCCACATGACTGAAGCGGCGCATAGCGACGGAACGGCGGACGGAGTTGCGCGTGCGGCACTCGGTGCGTTGAATATTTTTAATAAGGAATTAGAAATTTATAGAGAAAAGTTATAGGAGACTGCAAGAAAGTTATATCAAAATGGCTACATTCGAAATCGTATGAGGAAACCGAAGATTTATTAGAACACTTGCTTTAAAATCACTACTTTCCTAATCTATGGCAACAGGTTAACACACGCACACATACACACACACACACTTTTTCATATACAAATGCACACACACTAACACATACATAAGTTTTAAGATTCATATTAAATTTAAAATTAGAAGTTAAGAATGTGGAAAATTGTAAAAAAATTGTTTTGACGATGTTTGGAAATGTAAAATTAAATACTAAATTAAATATAAGTAAAAAATGTTAAATATGCATTTATACTGACACAGGCTTGTTAATCTTAATAGGAGGTATCATCCACTGTTAATGCAAAGTTAATTGTGTTACTGAAATAAACACTTTATTTATTATTTATTTATTTATTTTTATTATATAGCGCATTGCGACGACGCAATGTACCGGCAGCGCCCGTGTGTCATCGCTCTTAGACACTAAACTCACTATTGAAGGACAGATCCGCGGGTGATCTCTGGAAAATTCACAAGCCCCCAACCGTTTTATTATTATGTTAATAAAATTTGTATTCTAAATACTTACTTGTAGCAGAAAGGACTGTCGTAATCCTCCATCATGGCCCGGTGTACAATTCAGTGTAAGAGACTCATAAGTAACATTGGTGATTTCACAGGCTTTTAAGGATGACGGTTTATCTACAAAAAAATGTCAGTTTAGTATTGAAAATCTTTTTGTACAGACAAAAGAATTCTGAAAATAATAAAACAAATTTATCAAACCAAATAATTCACAATCTACTTGGTAATTTTCTGTTCATTCATATATATATAATGTAACCACATTCAATTACATTTACCGGGGCAAGAGGGACTTGAAGCCTTAAGGGTCAAAACACGATATCTACGAGCTCGCACGACGCATCGCAAGAATTTGCGAAGCGCTCTGCGTCGCGCATTCCTGCGATGTAATCTTCTTTGTGTTTTTTCCTATACTTTCTTATCAATAACTGCAGTGCAACACTCTTTTTACGATCCATGTCGCTTACCTAGTTTAAAAAATACGTTCAGTAGGGGTGATAAGCGTCGAAGGAATGGTCACCCGAACCGTGGCAGTGAGAAGCTTTGTCGCACAAAATCGCATCGCAGCAATTCACGTCACAGGTTTCTGTATTGCGAATTCGCACCGATTCGTAGTTTTGTGTTTCGACATTTACTCGTAATCTAAAGAGTTTAGCACTATAGTCTCACAGTCGATAAAACAGACAAAGGAATTAGTTTAAACGATTTTAAAGAGATGTCGTTACGATGCAACAAATTCAAAAGGCGGAAAAAACTAATTTGACAGTTGTGTATTCTTGAGAACATGAGGTATATATTACCTTTATAAGAAATAGGATGACTATTCCTCTTACCCCATCTTTTGGGAGAAGAGAAACGTTAGCACAATAATTTTATCCCTAGGTGTTCAAGCGATATTCGTTGTTTCTCGGAATCGATTCCCGTTCCGAATCCCGAATCACGATACGAGAAGAATGTAACTTTTTTTCATGTCATCATCATCAACCCATTTGTACGGCCCACTGTTGGGCACGGGCCTCCTCTCAGACGAGGGTTTTAGGCCTTCGTCCGCCATGCAGGACCAATGCGGGTTGGTGGCTTCACCAGCTTTCCGAAGGTTGTGAACCTTCTTCGACGAGCAGGTTTTGTTACGTTTTTCTTCACCGAAAAGCTCATGATAAATTGCGCACATAAACTCCGAGAAACTCAAGAGGTGCGAACCCGGATACGAGCCCTCGGCCTCTGCTTGAGACGGTAGGTCAAGCTATTACGGTTATCACGTTTTGTTTTTCATGTACTAAATATTATTAATTTGAGCAACTTACCAGCTGGCAAAATGTGAAAGAGACATGGTTTACTTTGTCGCCCTACTGAGTTCGATCCTGAACATTGCACCCATCCATAATCAGATGATGTGTTCACCATGTAAAGAAACGTACCTAGAAAAATAAAATTATTATAAAATTTTCAAGCCTCCAATTTTAAACTTGGCTAAAGTGTTTATAGATAAACTTACTTTGTGAATTTTGTGCCGTATTCATAGTAGGGGTGGTTAATTCGTGCTTGCTGTGTGTCGAACTGTTGAACCACCAGTGATATGTCATTGGCTCCTGTGGTAATTTTAAAATATATTAAATTTATTATTACGTTTTTTTGGTCTATTATTTTATTCCACAATCCATAATAAAAAAAACTTCGTATGCGAAATGTAATTTGTTCTCTTGTAAATTTTTCAAAGTCAGTAATTTATTCCATAGGTAAAATTTTTACATTTAAAAACGTCATTTTTTAAAAGTACTGCTTGTTCATTGTACCGACTTCCCCGAGAACGAAACGAGCAAGAAACTCTAAGGCTTCTAGACTTGTTCTTTTAAATAAACGTAAGTGCTATAGCCCTTTGAATTATATTTGTGTGGAATCTAGACTCATATTGTCTTTTCATACATCTTTATCTGACGTTTCAAATTAAAACTGTTGAGTGGTAAAACAGTGTAATGTACTTTGTCATTTAAAAAAAACATTAAGAGAGAAAAGCTTGTGACAGCACTTTTCGAGATCGTCTTGGCGAAGACACTTAAGTTCTACTAAACTAAATATAAATATATTAATAAATACAATACAGCTCTAATTCGAACACTGGCTTTATTTCAGAATTTTTCTTTTTAAACAAAATAAACGCCATTTGAAATATATATATCGTATACCACACGTGTTCTATTTAATTTAGTTGATATAAAATAAATATTGGTATATGTTAAGTACCTATTGTATACAGCAGTTTTCTTGTAAAATTTCGAGATAAGTTGGTGTTTTCTTTTTTCTATCATGGAAATTTTAAGGAATCGTGTTTTCGCACCGCATTTTGGTCATTGTATTATATCCTGAATTTTACTATACATTTTATCTACACACATATCATAAGCCAAATTACGACCAGCAGAAAGATAAACTGTTTTGTTAGAACAAATTTCTCATCTGTGAAAATGTTATTATTGCTTCATAATAACATCGAATATTCGATGTTATTATTACATTCAAATTTCGAACATCTCTGTGAAACAAAACAATTTGACTTAAAAAAAAATGTTTAAATTATGAATACGACATAGACGATTCGCTTAAAAATCACATTGAAACATTGACTTACAAATAAATGGACGACGGGTCTAATACACAAACCACGAAAAAAATGTCCCAAGTCAACCTATTTAAACGTAGTGACATGTAAAGGAATATGAAAAAGCTAAAACGTTGAATTTAAATTGTAATGTCATCGCAGTACTGTCTAATTTTGCTTGCTTCGCTGTCAGTCGAACAAACGAAGACTAAAGCGTGAATGACGCTCTGTATACGATTTTAACGCCCTATAACTTCGGACACTTTTTAGCGCGGACCCGACGTCCATATAATTGTAAGTCAATGCATTGAAATGAATTGATTGAAACCATAGCTACATCGTAACTGACCCGTCAATTGGATCCATGTCAACTTTTTTTCCGCCTTATTTTATTAATAATAGGGGTTAAAGTATGAAATTGCCGATTTGTACTGAAA